TATACAAAGGTTCAGCCTTTTAAATGGGGCATGCAGCGATTAGCCATTAACCCATCTGCTATGTTTTTCTCCCCTACTCTGGAGGACTGACACACTAGTCTCATGGCACAAGTCATATCAAGAGCTGTTCTTTCCACAATACACCTAGACCACAAACAATGGACTATCATTCAGAAATGTTCAATTATACTCTTATTAGAGGCCCAGTGCATGAGATTCGTGCACGCATGGGGGTCCTTCAGCCTGGCCTGCACCCTCTCACAGTCCTGGAGCCCTCAACCGTCCAAGAGCCCTCTGAGGGATGTCCATCAGACATCCTTAGTGCTACCATGGAGGCAGGAGAGGCTCTCGCCACCACCAATGCACTCACCAGCTGTGACCCCAGCTTCTGGGTTTCTGGCTGAGTGGCGCTCCCTCTGTGGGAGAGCACTGACCACCAGGGGGCAGCTCCTGCATTGAGTGTCTACCCATGGTGGTCAGAGCAGGACATAGGGACTGATTGTTCAGTTGATTTGCATATTACCCTTGAATTATATAGGATGCTCCAAATACCTAAAAAACTCAAAATAAGCCAAACACCCCTTCTCTTTATGCCCTGACCCCACTCTATCTATGCATGCTCTTATTCCCTCCCTTCCCTACACAAATCCTCCAATCCAGACAACTAAGCCTCCTCCGTGTTTCTTGGAGATACCAAGACCTCTCTTTCCAGCAACCCCTATACCTAACCCATCCATTGAGGCCTAAAAAATTCATGACATTCCCCAAATATTTCTTGACCATAATAGCTCTTAGTGATGACTCACATTTTTGAATTTGGAGTATGCAGCTAATATAAGAAGTTAACAGCATAATGTAGTATATATCAGAAAGCCAAAGAACTAACATTCTGTTTATAACAAAGTAAATCATCAGGCAGCAGAATTCTACAGATGATGTTCTCAGTATCACACACATATTTATATCACACTGAATTATTTGTGGCTTTTCCTTCTAATGAATTTATAATCTTCTTGGGGGCAGAGACTATTTCTCAGACAGAAATAGTTTGAAAACCCCCAGTCATAACTAGCACTAATAGCTCTGGACAAGCAGAAAGTACACAGTGGCTTGTCAATGATTTGCTGCCTAGGGAAGCTACAAATATTACGTGGTTGAACTGAAGAATAAAATCATTCTAAAACAATACAGCAAGTGATAGAGCACTGAGAATAATTATGCCATTTTCAGTTATTTGAGTGGGACTTTGGACTCATAGAGACCCACTCTGTATGCAATTTTAGCAGAGAGGATGTGGTGGAGAGAGGGGAGAGATTAATAGACTAGAGTGTCAGTTCTCAAATGGTCTTTAAAATTATCTAATGGAAGTCATCCTTTTAGAGATGAAGAAGTCCTTGGAAGTCTCCTAACTGAAACTGGGAGACCGGCTGCATCCCAGGAGGTGGCTACAGTCCTGACTGTGCCCTTTGCATGTAAGGCAGCTTTGCAGCAAAAACACACATGCCATTTCTCACTGAAGGAAGTGCCTCACCTCTGCCAGGAGGCGGAGAGTGAAACATCATTCAGAGTTCCCATCCATGGTTAATGGGAATGCATTTAATGTTGTTTTAATGATGTGGAACATTGTTAATGGCAGATCTATCGTAATTGCTTTCTTTTCTTCTTCTCATCCCTGCTACATGAAACAAATACTAACACATCCTCTAAAAAGTTACAAGAGTACAGTGTGGTGACAAGAAAACTTGAGTTCCAATAACCAAACCCTTCATTGAGCAGCTAAGATATTTTTCCTTTTAAAAAATATTTTTGTTTTCTTCAATTTTCTGACATGACTTTTTTTTATCCCAGGGAATGACAAAGCAGGGCTGGACATTGTCACCGGGGTATTTTTATAAACAAACACTGACTGTGTATTTATGGCAAACAGGCACAACTCCAAGAATTACAGAAGATCAAATGAATAAGATTCTGTTTCTGTACTCAAGAATCTAGGGAAATGATTAAATATGAACATAAAATGTCTAGTAAAGGGAGAACAGAAGGAACTATTAAATAAGCTATGGAATTTCGAAGAGAAGACAAATTTCCTGATTTTGCTCAATTGGGGGAAATCAAAAGAATAAAACCATGTGTGTTTATAAAGCAATATCCACAGAAATTAGAAAGTTCTTAATTTCAAAAGATGGATATCGTCCATAATAGATAATTCTGATAATAGATAACACACTTACTTCTAACATTCAATTGCCTATTGACAAAAGATTATGCTTTTTTCATAGATGTTAGATTTTTAGTTTTCTCCAAAGAGCAACTTTTATTTGCCTTCAACAAAATATTACTACAACAGAGTTAATAATGAAAAACAATATAATTTTGCATGTTGGCACACTTTACAGCTTCCAAAGCATTTGCACAAATACTATTTCAATAGGTCTCACTGGGTTGCCCATAATCCTGAGGGGTACATAAGGTCAGCTTATTGTGATTCTAGGTTTGTAAATGTGCACGTTGTTATTATTATTTTCATTGTGCACAGAGGATTCTGAGGCTCACATGAGTTTTATGAGTGACAGTGACAACTAGCATTTGTCAGGCTCATCAGACAAAATAAAAATTTCTGGCTAAGCTATCCAATCTAAAATTACATACACATTATATTACACTTGAAAACTAAATGGTTCTGGGAAAGTTGGAAAGCCACATGCAAAAAAATAAAAGTAGATTATACTTTGTCCCCACATATAAAAATGAACTCAAAATGGATCAAAGACCTAAATATAAGACCTGAAACAATAAATGGCATAGAAGAAAACATAGGTACTAATCTTGTGGACCTTGGTCTTAGAAAAGTTTTTATGAATTTGACCCTAAAGGGAGTAAGGCAAAAATTTGACCCTAAAGGGAGTAAGGCAAAGGGAGTAAGGCAAAAATAAATTAATGAAACTATATCAAATTAAAAAGCTTCTACAGCAAATAATATCCAAAATATATAAAGAATTTCTACAACTCAACAACAGACAAACAATCCTATTAAAAAATGGCAAGAGACCTAAACTGAGACTTTTCCCAAGAAGACATACAAATGGCCAACAGATTTACAAACAGATGTTCAACCTCACTAGCTATTAGGGAAATGCAGCCCAAAACTACAAAGAGATACTGCTTCAAACCTGTTAGAATGGCTAGTATCAATAAGACAAGTAATAGCAAGTCGTAGAGAGGCTGTGAAGAAAAGGGAGCCCTCATTCACTGCTGGTGGGAATATAAACTGGTACAGCCACAAGGGAAAACAACATGGAGGTTCCTCAAACAATAAGAATAGAATTACCGCCAGAACCGTTTAGCTCAGGGGATAGAGCATCGGCCTATGGACTGGAAGGTCCTGAGTTTAATTCTGATCAAGGGCATATACCTTGGTTGCGGGCACATCCCCAGTGGGGATGGAAGCTGGTTGATGTTTCTCTCTCATCGATGTTTCTAGCTCTCTATCCCTCTCCCTTCCTTTATGTAAAAAATCAATAAAATATATTTTTTTAAAAGAAGAAGAAGAAGAAGAAGAAGAAGAAGAAGAAGAAGAAGAAGAAGAAGAAGAAGAAGACGACGACGAAGAAGAAGAAGAAGAAGAAGAAGAAGCAGCAGCAGCAGCAGAAGAAAAATAGAATTACCATATGACCCAGCAATCCCTCTTCTGGGTATTTACCCAAAATTTTTGAAAACATTTATTCGCAAAGGTATACGCACCCCTATTTTCACTGCAGCATTTGATTCACAGTAGCCAATACATGGAAACAACCCAAGTTTTTTTTTTAAAGAGGACTATATAAAGAAAATGTAGTACACATATATAATGAAATACTACTCAGCCATAAGAAAAGTAAAATACAGCCATTTGCAACAACATAGATGGACCTTGAGAATGTTATGCTAAACAAAATGAGTCATTCAGGAAAAGCCAAGAACCACATCATTTCACTCATATATGGGATATAAAACTGAAAATCACAGACATAGACAACAGTATGTTGATTACCAGAGGGAAGAGGAAAAGAGAATAGGAAAGGGAAAAGAGGACCAAATATATGATGATGGAAGATGATTTGACTTTTGGTGGTGGGAACAAAATATAATATACAGATTATATACCATAAAAATGCACACTTACAACCATATAAACTTATTAATCAGGGTCACCCCAATAAATATAATTTAGAAACAAAAAAAAAGAAAGAAAGAAAAACCACTTTCCCACTGGTATATGTTCTCTTTAAAAACAAACATGTCCTGGGCAGCACTAGGCATCTGGGAGCCTAGCTTCCCCTTTTCTTCATGCATGGCCCCTGTTCCCTCCTCAGACACTGGCCACCCTCTCTTCTCTCATCTTTTCTTTCTAATAGAGCTTCGAAAGGCAGCCATTTGTACTTCCACCCTAAAGAGCCAAAGGCACTGAATTATGTCCTTCAAGAGTATTTTGGCTTTAAAACTTTGTTATAACTCCGCAGGGGGAGTCTTTCAGCTGATAAACACATTTAGGGCAGCAGCCACCAGGTGGAAGGAGTTTGGTCCTGAGCCAGGATGTTGCCATGTTTCCCTGCAGCGAGGAACAAAGGGCCTCAAGCTTATCTTCAGGGTCATTGAAGAAAAGAGAAGCTGGCACTAATGCATCCTGCCTTGTGTCCCTGCAAAGAACTTCAGGGATGAGCAATGACAGATTTAACGAGCAGAGAAAACCCACTGAGTCTTAAAGGGCCAAGGTACAAAGAAAAGGGGAAAAAAATGCAATCCAGGAAGCAGCCAGGGGCTGAGAATGATTTCCCCAGCCCTCACTCTCAATGCCACATCCCCACATTGCTCCTGGCCTGAGCTCAGACTACAAAGGTACAAGCCCTGTGGCTCTTAAAATCTTCCCAACTACAGAAAGGGGAACCCTCAAGTCCTACAACCACGACCCATGCTACTCTTTCTTCCATTTGGAAACACGAAGTGGGAAAAGCAGTTCTTACCTCGTAATGGGCCACGCGCTGAGATTCAGATATCAGTTGTGCACTGCACACCTTGCAGTAACTGTCTGTAAATAAATCCTGGTCGATATCGGAGGACTTCATCAGGCTAAAGGAGAATCAACAGAAGATAAAAGTGAGTCCACTGCTTTGATGTTTACGTAAGACATTGACTGTGTGAAAAATCCAAAAGCATAGCAACAAACCCCATGTCAGCAACAGTGGAGAAGCACACCCTAAACCTTTAGTGTTAACATTTTGAATAACCATAGTATGTGCATAGTTTGTAATTTTCTTATAAATTCCCAATAGGGTTGCCGGTACTGTCAAAAAGGAATTCCAACTTTAATTTTCTCTGTTTGATAAACCAGACTTACATCTAATGCACTCATTGTCAAGGAATTCTAGAAGAGGATTATTTTCACATATGGTTTTATATTACCAGAAGTTGGCATTTCATACTCCCAACAGTAGAAAATAGGTTAAATGAATTTTGATGCATTCACACACTAGAACATTGGGTGATTCCTAAATCTACATTCAAATCAAATCCTTTTTAAAAGAATATTTAGTGAAATAAAAAGCTCTCTGTTGTCAACAAAAGAGGTTTATAAATCAATATCAATTTGAATTTGTTTTCAAATATGAATAGGTACATAGAAATATTCCAGGAAATTTTAACAAAATTTTAACAGCAGTTATCTTTGAGATATTATAGGCAATTGCCTGTGTAATTTACTTTATTTTTAAGTTGTCTACAATAATCATGTAATATAATTTTGCTTTGTCAAGAGCCTTATGATCAATATGAGATCTAATTTTGAGTTTAACTGCTATACTTTGAAAGTTCATAAAGAAAATCTAACCGATCTCTAACCTATACTTTATAAAATATGGAGTCATCACCATTCCTGCTCACTTTTCTACCCAGAGGTTGTTAAAATTCATAAGGCCACCTTCATTATTTCCTACCACAGTGAAACCACAGAGGTACGTATAAACATAATCATAATCTCAAATTCCAAACCCCAAATCAAAATGCATCCAAGGGTCTAAAGCTTGTGAAAGTGACTTGGCAGAAAGGTGTCTTATAGCAGCTAAAGTGTAATGTTACCACCCTAGAGACTCGCATCAAGGTATAGGAAGGTTTTCCTCTAGCCCACAAATTTGCTTTATTTTACCCCCTACCTGTCAGGCAAAATGTAAGGAGTGTGCCACACAACCTGTGGTATGGAGAGGCAAGAGAATTTCAGACAATAAGTGGGAACCTTGGAGTTTATCTTATTCCAATGTCCCTTTTTTACATATGAGACTGTCTAAAACAGTGGTTCTCAACCTTCTACTGTTGCGCAAATATCTTCGTTTTCTGATAGTCTTAGACTCTACAGCAGAACTGCTGGCTCTACAGTAGTGGTTCTCAACCTGTAGGGTTGCCTAAGACCATCAGAAAGCACAGATACTTACATTACGATTCATAACAGTAGCAAAATTACAGTTATGAAGTAGCAATGAAAATAATTTTATGGTTTGGGGTCACCACAACATGAGGAACTATATTAAAGGGTCACGGCATTAGAAAGGTTGAGAACCACTGGTCTAAAAGCACATTGTTAATGCTTGGTGTGGTCATAAATACCACCTAGCTTACATGATTTTAATTTCCATACTCTAGACTCATCTCAGGTATGCTACTCACCACTCATGTGATGTTGGAAAAGTCAATAATCCCTATAGGTCTCATTTTCCCTCCTATAAAAATTGAGAACATAATATTTTCCATGCCTCCTTAAAGAAATGTGGTGAATATCAAAAGGAGAAATATAAGAAAAGATACTATACAAACAGCCAAATTATTCCTATTTTAAAGGGATTGTTTTTACACTTTTAATAATATATCTACTGATGTTGGTAAGATGTTGGCCATGTCATTTTTTAATTATATGAATAAATTCATTTTCATGGTCCTTGATATATGCTGAACTGTGGAGCTGGGATCCATGGTAAGGCTGTGTGGTGCCTTGTGCCTCTCTGCCTCCTCAAGTCCTATTGATTGCCTCCAGAGACTCCACTTCTGGAGAAACTGAAGTACATTTAAAAGAGCATGTTCCCAAGAGGAGTGAAAGTTGGATTCCAGTTTAATAATATCAAATACAGTGCTTTGTTTCTTGGTCCATCCTGTTCTGGCTTCAGAGAAATAAGACCATTGCTAATGAGATTGATGTACTCTGTACATTGAACTGCCTCGTGTCAGAGATCTTGTCCCTGGTTGTTGTTGTTTTTTTTTCTGTTCTAGAGGCTCATTATGTTCTCTTTTTCTTTGAACATGGAATCTAGGTCTTCAATTTTGAAACCAAATTTGGACTCTTGACTCTGGAACCCCAATTTCCTTAGCAAGTTTCTCTGTGGACTCCATGCCAGGATATGAGTTATTCCCAGTGCCACAATAAGGGTGTGCAACTGGGAGGAAGAATAACTGGTAGAACACTGTCTTCTCTACTTTGAATCTCCTCCACAGAGTAATCTTGGTGTTGATTTGCTTCTACATCCTCCTTGGGTTCTGGCCTTTTCTGAACTTGGTACCTAGTTCTTCAATTCTGAAACCAAATAAGGATTCTAGACTCTTCAATGTCTACTTCTAAAGCAAGCTTTTTCTTGGGAGTATAACCTGAGTGAGGTCTTTGTTGAATGCTTTGATGAGGATTTTCAATGGATCTTCTGTGAACTGAGTACAGCTTCATCCATGACTCGTTGCTATGGTCTTGTTTGGAGAATTGTCTTGGGCTATGTTGGAAGAGTGTCCTGAAGTCTTAGCCTTCAACCAAGAGTGACCAAGTCTTGATTAAAGCAACAAAATGAAATACTGTGGTCCATTTTGAAGGATTTTTGAATCCGTCTAAATAGCTGTGCCACACGAGTAAAGTATCTTCCTGGAATAAAAGGATGCCTGCCTTAACAACTCCAAACTCACTTTCTACTGTGACCTTGGCTGGCATGGCCCATTAGAGCATTTGTATTAAGTGATTTAGCACAACAGTACTTCTGGCTTTTCAATGCCCCACAACCATAGAAATGGCAGGTAGTAAAAACCATTGACTCACATAGCTGAAATGGACATGTTCTTCTGAAAGCATCAGTATTGGCAGACAGCCTAGGAAGCTTAGAGTCCCACACTGAAAGTGCCTGGAGACTCATTATCTCACATGACAACCTGTTCTAGAGAGTCTGGCAACTCTAGTTGTCAGGTACTTCTTAGGTTGCATCGAAATCCCACTGTAGATTTCACTCATTGATTCTGTCTTTGGATATAACACAAAACAATTTTACTCTCCTTTTTTACGAGATATCCTCCATCAAATGTTTGAAGATAGCTCTCTTCTATCTATTCCCAGACTCTGTCCTGTCTTGGTAATCTTGGTCTGTATCTATCTCTATATAGGCCACATTCAAAGGCAGTCCTAAGAACATAATGAAACACTACAGATATGGTCTAAATGGTGCAGAGAATCACAAATTCATATGACTATCCAAAATATCCATTGTCATGTGTAATGGTCTCTATTCACATCCTGGAAAGTAAATGGAGGAGAGGTGCTTTGGTGATGGGAAAATGTAGTACAACATTTTGAAATGCCAAATGGGAGACTTATTAGGTGTAGTTTTGAAGCTAGGCTCCTACAAGTAGCTGTGTTTAAATATTGTGTTCTCTGCTATTTTTAATAAAGAAGTGCACGAAAATAGATTCATGGGTGACCTGGTTAATAGGAATCTACAAACTCACTGCACACTCCCTTCTCATTATACAATCGACTGCAGAAATCAAACACTGTGAAAGTATATTCAAGGTACATGTCGGACCAAGTGGGACCCGTAGGAGTCTGAGTCTTGGTAAAGCAGCTGTGCAGCAGAAATAGCATTAAAGACAGAATATAAAACTTGTGTGCTAAAATAAATATATTCAAAGGAAAAAGAGATGATCATGGATTTTTTTTCTCCGTTTTATATCTATGTTTGCATATAAGAATTTTTATTTAAATAGGCCCATAACAAGGAAGACCCCTCCAAATTGTACAAGACCCAAATGGAATACACAAATAGGTTAAATTCCAGTGGGAGGCAATTAGTGGACAAGTGTCAGCCAGGTTTGCGCATGAGGGCTTTTCTCCAGTAGAAGAGAACTCTCTCTGTGTAGGTCACTTTAAACAGCTAGAAGGACTGATTTATGATTTAAGAGTGAAATTCCCAAGGGGCAAGAGACTGCCAGTTGACTCCCTCTTCTGGCTTCTTTAGAATAGGATTATCAGCTTCTTTGGCCTTAAGAAGCACAGGTGAGCTGCTAAGCAAAAGGAAAACAAACCTGATTTACTGGCTTTAGCCTTGTCCATGGTTCTGAATTAGCTCCTAGACCAGAAACAGGGCAGGGCCACTTACTGGTCAGTCATACTGTCACATCAGAGCCTATGTGTGGTGACCTCCACCCTAAAAACACACTCACTGTGCTATACTCTGAGGCCTTGTGAGATTGTAAGGAGAGAGACAAGAGTGGGGAAGTAGGAGTATGATTTTCTGAATCTGAAACAAACTAAATGAAAGCTTCCTCAGTGTTCCCCATCCTAATGCATTCCAAAGCAAACACTGATGATTTGAATAATCTCTCTAACACTCTTCAGTATTCATAGAGAATAGTGTTACCTGTATATTAGGGGGGGAAAGAAAAAAAAGGAAGAAAGAAAAAGAAAAACCCATAGTGGAGTCAAAGGCAGTATTGGAACAAGAGTCTGATCAGATTTTATTTCGATATTCCAGTTCTCTATATAGAGATTTACTTACAGGTATAGCAGTGACAGTGTAAGACTTTGATGTAAAGGTCAGTATAATATATGAAGGAAGCATAGAGGAGAAGAGAATTTGTTTCTTAATAATGATTTTGAGGATCTACAATATGTGAAGTACAGGGATAACAGAAAGCACAAGTCTTGTCTTCCAAATAATCATGTGCTATTGAATGAGAAGAAATACACACACACACACACACACACACACACACACACACACACACTTACTGAAGGGGCATAGATAACAAGTGTAATTTGGCCAATAAAACATGC